TTTCATACTCTGGTTGAGCCTTTTGGACTCCTGAAACACATTTTGCATCAGACCAGGAGTGCTGACCAGGCATAAAAGGAACAAGGTCACTGTTCTCCAGTATGCTGGACACAGAAGACAAACATCTGAATAAGTAAAACCTTGCTGAAGTTAAAAGTCAACACCAAGTTCAGCCAAACTCAAGTATTGCCTGTCCTCAGACTACAATTTTAGTTTAGTTTTTTGGACTCCTGAAACACATTTTGCATCAGACCAGGAGTGCTGACCAGGCATAAAAGGAACAAGGTCACTGTTCTCCAGTATGCTGGACACAGAAGACAAACATCTGAATAAGTAAAACCTTGCTGAAGTTAAAAGTCAACACCAAGTTCAGCCAAACTCAAGTATTGCCTGTCCTCAGACTACAATTTTAGTTTAGTTTTCTGAGAAGACAAAGATTATGCATGCTTATCATCTAGATTGTTTTCTACTCAGGTGGCTAAGTCAGAGAGGTATAACCTCCAGATAATAAAACTTCCTCATTTTAGCAATTGGAAGGAGTTGAGAAACCAAGTTAACCCAGCCATGAAGAGCATGGCTGCCATCCATCCATTCCTGTTACACACTCTATTTGGCAGCAACCCACTGCCTAACCACCAGGGAGAGCCTGACCAGACATTTATCAGATGTGGAGCTTTGAAAAGCAGCCAAAGAATATCTTGCATAAGGAAACACATAGGGCATATGCTAAGGACTGAAAAGGGGAGGAGGGGTAAAAAGGACAGGGAAGGATTAGGCCATATTACAGAGGAGGACTCGGATTGCTGAAGAGAGAGACTCTGGGGAAAAATGCCTCTGTGTTTGTAGGAAAGAGAGATTGCAGTAGCAATGCTTCCACATGAGGCTATCACAAGCCTCATTTATTAATGCTGCTTATTAGTCTATGATGTAGAGATTTGTAACCTAGTGCTGGAGGGGCTCCAGTCTATGTTCACATATCTTTAAACATATAATGATCTTAACTAGATATGATAAGGTATGTAACTCAAGGTCTAGCATTACATTAAGGCACCAAGTATTTTCCAGTTTACTCTCTTAATTCAAAAATATATTCATTCTATGAGCTGAAGTACCTTACAGGATACATGTAGGCCATTTTTTAGGAGAAGATGGAATAGCAGATTTAATTTACTCCGGTTCAATTTGGCTACAAATCACATGGGTCTAAAACCTGAAGCAGTCCTGCTACATTATAGCTCTGGAAGCTAATTTTCTAGCAGTTCTAGCAGAGCAAACTACCAATTCACTAGTGGATATGAAAATGAACTCCATGTCAACTTTACCTAATATTTCCTCTTAGTGAGAACTTTATAGTCTAATAGACAGACTGTGCAGTGCTGGGATAAATTTACAAGCTCTTCTGGATAAAGGATTTGTTATAGTAGGATCATCTAAGTATTTCTTTTCTTAACTCACACCAAAGTGTATGTGCTGAAACACATCACATTTTAGAAAATGAGATTAGCATAAGAAAGGAAAAATAAGATTATATAAATACAGAAGAAACATCTTTTATACCCCACTTTGTCTGTTAAGAAAGTAAATCAAATTCACATTTTTAAGCTTTGTTATCCTCTAATCTTCTGCTTTATCTTCATAGAATCAGCTGAATTTCACAGACTGCAAATTTGCATCCACTATTCCAGAGAAAATCTAATTAGATATATTCCAGGGTCAGAAAGTACAGATAGACTAATATCTAAAGGAAATTTGCATTCTACTGATAAAACCCATAGTAATTAAAAACTCCTTTATATTAATGCCTCATATTAAATGAAACATTTTTAATTCTGAAATAGGATGGGTTGTAGTTATCTATTACTGAAAAAGTCAGCTATTATTGAGTGCTTGCAAATGACATGGCCAGAAGTACCATTATATCACTGAAGAACAAAAAGCTCATGTCAGTATTTTTCCATGAAAGTTGTATTAAATTTTGTGCATGACATCTCCTTTCAAAGTCATCCCAGAAGATACTCTTTCTTATAAAAGAACATCTATGTATCATAAACAGTGCCTTGGTGGTTTCTTTTTCAAAAGTCACAGTCAATTTTAGTAGCATATTTAATAGGATAAGATAATGGAGGAAGACAGTTAAGTACATGCTTCATCAAAGCTTGCACTGCCTCTTGTACAAAAAGTACTCTGCCCATCACCACACAAACAATAATTAATGCTCTTAGTATTAAGTCTCCTGCTCCTTTCAGTGTTTCACTTCAAAGACGTCCTGCATCAATACGTAAGTGTTTTACTGTCTTTTAATGCTGCCAAACTGGTTGAAACCCTTTTTGAAGACTATTCCCTAATCTCTCCTATCTAGGAAATGTACTGTGAACATTTCTGTTTCGCAATCTTTCCCCTCTGCTTATCACCGCAGACACTGTAATGCACAACCACTTACTATTCCAAGAAACAAAGGTGCTTCTGCAGTTGTGACTTCCAACCTAATCAAATCAAATCAAAGCAGGTCCCCAGCCAGTAGACAGATTCTTCCCACATGGTCCCCAGAGAGCCCTGTGACATGTAAATCACTTGACACTTTCCAGGAGGATGCTGTTCTCTACTATCAGCCTGCAGCACACCATTCCTGATTGCTACTTCCCCACTTACAGAGACAGACAACACGCTTATTTATACTGACACTTTTAAACTGGCTTATTTGCCCACTATAAAAAGTCATTTCTGTGAAACACTGCTGCACTAGAATAGAGGGCAGACTGGGAATGAACAACATCCTGTCCTCTACAGAATAATTTTTACTTTCAATCATGCAGATTGAGTACAAGATACTAAGCCTGCTTAGTAGAGAAAGGCAAAAAACCTGCACGGAGATGTGCTGCACCTAAACACATGTAAAGGGAAGAGAGAGATATAGGAAGTATTTTGTAATAATAAAATAAATCAACAAGGGAACAGAGATATATAAAAAGTATTTTGTAATAATAAAATAAATCAAAACCTTTTTCCTAAAGAAAACATGAATTTGAATACTGGGGAGCAAATTAGCTGTAGATTTTCTAATTGAACAATCAGAACAAACATCTCGATTAAGTAAATTTGGGCAATACAATAGTCACTTGAGCTGTTATTTAATCTATAATTTTAATTCCAGAGATATATAAAAAGTATTTTGTAATAATAAAATAAATCAAAACCTTTTTCCTAAAGAAAACATGAATTTGAATACTGGGGAGCAAATTAGCTGTAGATTTTCTAATTGAACAATC